ACTATAATTGTGGATTTATCTATTTCTTTCTTCAATTCCATTAAGGTTTGCTTCATGTATCTTGGTGCTCTTTCGTTGGGAGCGTATATGTTTATTATAGTTATGTCGTCTTGCTAGATTGACCTTTTGATCATGAGATAGTGTCCTTCTTTGTCTCTTATGCTAGTTTTTATCTTAAAGTCTACTTTGTTGGAGATTAGTATTGCGACTCCTGCTTGTTCAGAGTTGTTGTTGTTAGCTTGGTAAAATTTTTTCCATCCTTTGACTCTTAGTCTGTTTTTGTCTTTATGTGTAAGGTGTGTCTCTTGCAGGCAGCATATTGATGGATCTTGTTTTCTTATCCATTCTGCCACTCTTTGTCTCTTCACTGGTGCATTCAATCCATTGACATTCAATGTAATTATTGATAAGTGTGAATTGATTGCTGTCATTATGTTACTTTTTTGGTGGTGTTGTTCATTCTTTGGTTCTGCTTTCCTTCTTGTATTGGGTTTGTGTTTTTTGAGTTGATTCTGGTCGGTTTCTCCCTAGTTTCTCTGTTCGCTTGTTTGGTTTGGGGATTTGTTTTTATGATATGTTGTGGAGTGTTAACTTTCTTTGGGGTTACCTTGTAGTCTACAAACTTTTCTCTGCATTTAGGATACTCTACTGTAAACTGTAATTTACCTGGTATCTCCACCACCTGGGTTTCTGTTGCTGCGTTTGTCCCTTCTTTGACATTGATATGTTTATGTCCTTCAGTTGATCTCTGGGCTCCCTTGCGTTTGTTGATGTAGTCTTCTTCTGTTCTGGACTATGCTTTCTGTTGTTCCAGGTGGTGTTGCCATTCCTGTCAATCTCTGTCGTCTGTTCTTGTTGGTTCTCTGTCCCCAGAACTTCCTTTAGGACGTTTTGAAGTGCTGGGTTGGTTTTGATAAAATCCCTCTGATTCTGTTTATCCTGGAATGTTTTGATCACACCATCGTATTTGATTGATAGTTTTGCTGGATAGACGATTCTTGGTTGACAGTTTTTTTT